CCACAGGGCGCGCCCCCCCTCGGTCCCGACTCGCCCCCCCCCCCCCGCGGGCTCTGATCCGGTCTCTGCCTCTCTCTAGACCCTGCCCCGGAGCCGCCATGGGCCGCCGCCCGCGCGCTGGTGAGTGACCGGGGGGAGGGGCGGGGGGGACACGGGGGGGGGCTGTTCGGGGGGGTCTGGCCCCGTCTCACCGCCCTGTCTCCCCCCAGCTACCGGTACTGCAAGAACAAGCCCTACCCCAAGTCCCGCTTCTGCAGGGGCGTCCCCGGTGAGTCTCGCCCGCGAGTGGCTGGGGCGGGGCTTGTGGGGGGCCCAGGGGCTGGGGCGGGATATGGGGGGGGCTGGGGCGGGGCCCAGGGGCTGGGGCGGGATATGGGGGGGCTGGGGCGGGGCCCAGGGGCTGGGGCGGGATATGGGGGGGCTTGTGGGGGGCCTACAGGAAATTGTCGTTCTAGCTGTACAGACCTGGGGGGCTTTGCAGGGTCCCTACTGCGGGTTGGGGGGTCTCTGCCAGCTTGGACACCCCTCTCCCTGCTCCCCGGGGAAGGGGCCACGCCTGGTCCAGGCAGAGCCGGGGGTGAGACCCCAGGGTCTGCTCTGGCTCACAGGGGCCCCCCTCCCCCTCTCCTCACCCCCCAGATGCCAAGATCCGCATCTTCGACCTGGGCCGGAAGAAGGCCAAGGTGGATGAGTTCCCCCTGTGCGGCCACATGGTGTCCGATGAATATGAGCAGCTCTCCTCCGAAGGTGAGGGGGGCTGGGGCCTTCTTTGGGAGGTGGGGGCTTGTTCGGGGCGGTGCTTGCCTGGGAGGGTGGGTAGGGTCAATAAACCTGCCAGGAAGATCCCAGCAAGGGGCTGCTGGTTGGGGGGGCCCCTTGTTCCTGAGCTCACTCTGTTCTCCCCCTACCCCCCCCCCCCCCCCCCCAGCGCTGGAGGCCGCCCGGATCTGTGCCAACAAGTACATGGTGAAGAGCTGTGGGAAGGACGGCTTCCACATCCGCGTGCGCCTGCACCCCTTTCACGTCATCCGCATCAACAAGATGTTGTCCTGTGCCGGCGCTGACAGGTGGGGGATCCCGGGGGGTAGGGGGGACCCCGCAGCCAGTTAAGCCGACCGGCCCGCCTGCTGTGGGGACCCGGTGTGCAATGGCTGCGCACAGCACCCCCCCTGGTTGTGTACGTGCTCCGTGCCCCGTACGGAGCGCCCTAAGGGACCGCGGGGACATGGACATGTTGCGTTTTGGGGGGCAGTGGATGTGGGCGGTGACTCCCTAAGGGGCTGCGGGGACATGGGCGGTGGGGGGGGGGCAATGCCCTAAGGGGACATGGGTGTTTGGGGCAGGGAGTGATGCCTTGTGGGCACAGGGGGGGTTTGGCGGAAGGCGGGGGAGGTGGGGGGCATTGGGAGTGGTGGGGGCAATGCCCTCCATGGCCCCTGCTGGCTCATGCCCCGTGGATCCTGGCAGGCTGCAGACGGGGATGCGTGGCGCCTTCGGCAAGCCCCAGGGCACCGTGGCTCGGGTGCACATCGGCCAGGTCATCATGTCCATCCGCACCAAGGCCCAGAACAAGGAGCACGTGGTGGAGGCCCTGCGCAGGGCCAAGTTCAAGTTCCCCGGGCGCCAGAAGGTAACGGGGGCTCTCCCCCAATCATGGTGGGGCTGTCTGGGGCAGGGACTGGCTGGCTTGGGGAGGCAGGAATGGGGCCTGGGGCCGTTCCCCTCTACTGGGCGCTGGCTCAGATCTGGCCCCAGGGCAGGGACTGGCTGGTTTGGGGGTGATGAGGTGGCAATGGGGCCTGGGGCCTGTCCCTCTTGGGGGGGCCCTGCAGCCAGTTAAGCCGACCGGCCTGCCTGCTGTGGGGGCCCGGTGTGCAATGGCTGCGCACAGCACCCCCCCTGGTTGTGTACGTGCTCCGTGCCCTGTATGGAGCGCCTTAAGGGACCGCGGGGACATGGGCATCAGAAGTGTGTGGGGGGGTGACACTCTAAGGGAAGGCGGGGACACAGCTGGTGTCTGGGGGAGATCTCCTGTATAGCTGGCACCCCCTTAACCGTTGTCCCCGCCCCCCCCCAGATCCACATCTCCAAGAAATGGGGTTTCACCAAGTTCAACGCGGATGAGTTCGAGGACATGGTGGCTGAGAAGCGGCTGCTGCCAGATGGCTGTGGCGTAAAATACATCCCCAGCCGGGGGCCCCTGGACAAGTGGCGGGCCCTGCATGCCGCCTGAGCCCCCTGGCTGCCCCCCATCCCGGGGGCCCCGCAACAGGAATAAAAGCATTGGCCTCTAATGCCCGTCTGTGTGTGCTGTGGGGCAGAGCTGGAGGGGTGGGGAATCCTAGAGCCACAGCCCCCCACTTCCCTGGGGGGCAGCATGGGGCAGGATGCCCTGCTGGTGTGGGGGGCAGGGCCTGGAGTAACTGAACTCCGGTGCTGCGGCTTCGGGGCTGATGTGGGACAGCTTGGGCCCCCGCTGATGGGGATGGAGGCAGGTCCTGGCCCTGTGGGCTGCTCACAGCTCCCGCGGTGTCCGGCTGGCCAGATGCAGGTTCACCTCCACGGGGTAATGGTCACTGACCTGCAGGGCCTGGGGTGGGGGGGTTAAATTGCTGGGGTGGGTCAAGGGGTGTGCACCCCACTGCCCTCCCCAAGCTGGAAGAGAACCCAGGAGCCTTTGTTCTCAGCCCCCCTCCCAGGAGTCCTGGGCCTACCCACTTCTCTCGGGTCTGGATGCTATCTGAGGGAGTGACACACCTCCTTCCCCCCCCACCCCCGGCCGGGGGGCCCCCATCTCTGCTCCCTTCCTCCCCCCTTGTCGGGCCCGGGGGCAGTGGGGGGGTCATTCCCAGATGCCAGGGTCCTCTCACCTCCTCCTCCGACAGCCCCAGGCTCCTGGCAAAGTTATAGGCTTTGGCTGAGCCGGGCACCACAGCTCTGAGCAGCTCGTCCCCCTGGACCACGATCCTGGGGGGCAGAGAGGGGGTGAGGGGGGAGCTGTCCCTTAACCTGCCCCTTCCCTCTAGCTCTCTCTAGCCCCCCTCACTGTCAGAGCAACCCCAAGGCTGCGGGTGCAGTGGGGAGAGAGGCAGCCTCCCCCCCCACTCCTTTCCCCCAGGGTTAACCGATAACCTCTGCCGGGGCTCTCTGCTCCCCCAGTACTCCCTGCCATGCACAGACCCCCACCTACTCCCCCCGGGCTGCCCCAGTACCTGTCGTAGGCACAGTGGGTCTGGGTTCGCACGGTGGTGTTGACGCTGTCCCCGATCAGCCAGTGGAAGCGGGGATCCCAGCGCAGCTGGATGGACCCCCAGGCACTGGGGGGGACATAGACCCCCCCTGCATTTAAGTCCCCCAGCACCATCACGTTCTGGTGAGGACAGAGAACAAGATGAGTGCCCGGTCACCTGGGTCCTGTTCCCCCTTCACCCCCACCCCCAGGGCCTGGGAACTGTCCCAGATGCCTGGGGCCCCATCCCCATTCTCTCTCCTTCCCTCCTGGTCACCTGGGTCCTGTTCCCCCTTCACCCCCACCTGCCAGGGCCTGGGGCCCCATTCTCTCTCCTGGTCACCTGGGTCCTGTTCCCCTTCACCCCCACCCCATCCCCCAGGGCCTGGGAGCTGCAAGGGAACTGTCCCGGACACCTGGGTCCCATTCTCTCTGTCCTGGCCGCCTGGGTCCCATTGTTCCCCTGTACCTGGGTTCCCCAGCGCTGGCTCAGTTCCTGGCAGACCCGGTGGAGCTGAGCGATCTCGTGGGGTGCGTGCCGGGGGCTGGCATGATGCGAGAGCAGCACAAAGTCCTTGATGGCTTGGGGGAAGGGGGGGAGAGCTGTTAGTGGGGGGTACCTGATTCCCTCCCTCAGTGTTGCTGCTGGTGCTACCCCAGCCAGGGGGCCGCTGTCCCCAGGCACAGCACGGGGGATGGGGGGGCACAGGGGGCATCCCAAAGCTGGAGAGGGAAATGGGGAGTGGGGGAGGAAGAGGGGGAGGGTGTCAGGGTGAGAGGGGACCCACCTGTGCTGGGCGCATGGAAGCGGGCGGCAAAGGGTCCTCGGGCAAAGTCTCCAGCCTCCCCAAACTGGCACCAGTCCGTGACCGTCACCAGGTCCGCCCTGCAGGAGAGCACAACGGGGTCAGGGTGGCCCCAGGGTGGGGAACAAGGCATGGGGCTTTCCCCCTAGGGGGCACTGGCAGGGATCTGGCCCCACCGTGGGGGCACAGGGGCTTGCCGGGGGTGGGGAGTTACCGATACACGAAGACGATCTGCTCTTTGTAGGTCCCGCGGCCGAGTCTCCGGCTGCCCAGCTGGGCGTAGCTGTGGGATGGGTCGTACCTGCCCCGGGGAGAGAGTGGGGAACATCAGCGTGCTCACGCTGCCCTCTCGGCCGGGAGGGGACGTGGGAGTCCTGGGTCCCAGGCCCCCTCCCCTCCCAGCACTGGGGCGGGAACCCAGGTGTCCTGAGCAGCCCAGTACCTGTTTAGCTCCCGCAGCAGGGCCTGCACCGCCTCCCCCTTCACGTCTCGCACCTCCTGCACTGCAGCAATGTCACAGCGCACCAGGATCTGCAAGGAGATGCCCGCTCAGTGGGGGGAGCTGGGCGCTGTCCTGGCTCCCCGTCCCCCCCATCTCCCTGAGCTGGTACCTGCACCAGTGCGCCCATCACCCGGACGTCACCCGACTTGGCCTCCCCGAAGCCGTGCGTATTGAAGGCGCAGATCTTGAAGCCGGCGCCGGCCAGGCGTAGCCCGAGCAGCAGCAGGGCCAGGGGGTGCATGGTGGGCCCCGGGGAGCAGCAGCCAGGCAGGGACGAGGCCTGGGGGGTCTGTGTCCAGGCTGGGGCGGCCCTGCCCGCGGCTGCTCGCTGGCTGCTGAGTCACCAGCTGGGGCACGGGGCCCTTTGTCCCGCTGAGCCCAGCACGTGCAGGGGAGAGAATCGCCTGGGCTGGGCCTGCGGCCCCCGGGCTGGGCCCCACGTAGAACCCAGGAGTCCTGGCTCCTGACCCCCCCCCACTGCTTGCTGCTATAACCTATCACACCCCCCTCCCCTCCCAGAGCCTGGGAGAGAACCCAGGGGTCCTGGCTCCCAGCCCTGCACCCTCCCTTAGCCTGGGAGGGAGGTGGACCCGGGCTGCCCCCCAGGTGGTTTGTGGGGCGAGGGGAGGACCCGGTGCCAGCTGTCTGGGCTGGGGTTCTCCAGCCCTCTCTGGCCTGGCCCCAGCGGGCCCCCATTGGCCCTGGGTCTCGCTAGCTGCCCATTACAAGGCGCCCCCATCAACCCTGGCCAGCCGTACTTGCATTCGGCTCCCTGCCCCCCCAGGACCCCGGCCTTGGGGTGGTGCCGACAGGACAAACCCGGAGGGGCGAGTGGGGAACGGGGGTTTTGCTCGTTCTGCCCTGAGGGTGAAAGTGACAGGAAACCTGCAGGCCAGGCAGGCCCCAAAGGGTTAAACTAGGCACCAGCTAGTGGGGGGGATCCCCTGTATACCTGGCCCCCGCCCCACTCCAGAGGTGGCTGCATCTCAGCCCGCGTGAGGGCTCCACGGATGCCTGGGGGTTCTGGGTGCGCTCGTCGCTCACCTGGAGCTTGTGTTAATGGACGCTGGCAGCCATCCTCTCACAGCTGGCTCGCGCCTCCCCCCCCCCTCAGCTTGGCCTGGCCTCAGGCTGGCAGCCCCGTCGCTGTGCTCTGGGTGTGGGCAGCACCTGGCACTGCTGGGGCCTGACACGATGCACCCGAATACCCATTGCCGCAGTGGGTGCGGTGACGCCTGGCACTGAGCACAGCAATCCCCAGGCTGACACCAAAGCAGGTGCGCGGCGGGGCCGGGCGCCCAGCTCACAGCGGGGTTAGCGCTGGCAGAGACGTAGAGTGGGGGGGATAGGCCAGTAGGAGTGAGTCAAAAGGCTGGGTCTGATCAATGAGGAAAAGCGGTGACATGGGGCGAGGACCTAGGCTAGAGACCGTACGGCCATGTGTAGGGGGCAGATGGGGGGCAGGCTAGAGGCCGTACGGCCATGCGTGGGCGGCAGACGGGGGGCAGGCTAGAGGGTCGTACGGCCATGCGTGGGGGGCAGACGGGGGGCAGGCTAGAGGGTCATACGGCCATGCGTGGGGGGCAGACGGGGGGCCTGATAGAGGCTGTACGGCCATGCGTGGGGGGGCAGATGGGGGGTAGGGAATGTGTTGTACATCCCTTCGCGTAACATAAGCGCCAGGCTCAGCCAATGGCATTAACAGGCAGGATATTTCAAACAAACTGGCGGGTGGATTTCTTCCCCCGCCACACAGTTAACCTGTGGAACTCACTGCTGCTACATGTTGTGGAGGCCAGAAGTGTAACAGGTTCAGTAAGTCCCTGGCAGCTGTGAGCTGGGTGGGGCCAGGACCAGCCCCCTTCTTGGGGTGTCCTTGAGCCGGGGGCCGGAGCATCTATTGTGTGCCCTGCTCTGGAGCTGGCGGGAGTCAGGCCGGGTCTGGACGGAGCCCATCACCAGGGTGTCTGGGCAGGAAGTGAGCGCCTGGGGGGTGTCAGTGTGCAAGGGAGGAGGGGGCTGGGAGCCCGGACTCCTGGGTTCTGTCCCTGTGCCAGGAGGAGGAAATGGGCTGGTCCCCGTCCAGGCTCCGCCTCTCAGCTCTGAGGGGGCGGAGCACAGAGTGGTTCTAGCTCAGCGCCGCCCCTGCCCGCTCTCTGCTGCCACCTGGGCCTCTGCATGGAGCGGCACATGCAGAGTGGGGAGCAGTGCAGAGGCCCCCATTGGCCGGCACTGGGTGCGTGGGGCCGGGCGGCGGCCAATGGCGCAGGAAGACGGGGTATAAAGGCAGGTGTGGGTCAGGATCAGTCCAGGGCAGCCTCCCCCCGTCCGAGGGGCAATGCATGGGGGGCTAGCTGAGGAAGGTTCCTCAGGTTTGGGGGGGCCGACATGCAGACTGATCGGTCTTGTCTCCCTGCAGGTGTCAGACTCCCCCCACCACCACCCCGCCGGGCACGTGCTTTGCTTCTGTCCTGGCTCCCCACCCCCATTGGGCAGCAGCAGCAGGGACACACACACACACACACACACCCCAGTTTAAGCAGGAACCACAAAACATCTGAAAGTTCATGGAGGGGTTTAGTATTGTTAGGCCCAAAAAGAAAAATTGTAGAGCAGTTATGCCAACCTAATCAGAATTAGGCCAACAGAGGTTTCTGGGTAGTCCCTGGGCAGAATCGAAGACATAGTTGTTTAAGCTGAAAAAATGAGATAAGAGGGAAGCTGCATTCCTGTACCAGATGTGCTACGAACAGTGTGCTCAGAAGATAGATTAGGAGACATACTGTCTCCACTCCCTGTTTCTGTTCTTTGTATGTTCTTGATTCCCCCCGTCTCCTAGTTCTGGTGCTTGTTAACCGTGCTGATAAGAAAGTTGCTGAGAC